TCACCTTTTCTTTATTTCAACACTTATTTTGAAACACCCTGTACAACACCAGTATTACTAAACAACCATTTGCCCGAGTAACGTTCAACTTTTAACGACCATCAGTCTTTCCCTCCGTCGAATTCCCAACTTTTCCACCTCCTTCTGTTATCCCCCTTTTCACAATTTCGACGGCTACGTTCGATCGAAGAAACGAGCGATAAAATCGACGAACGATGATTTCACAAATATTCTCACGGAATTATTAACGATTTGCATAGGATACATGGAGTTTAGACGACGGAGAGCTTTTTCTATTTCGACTTGGAAACGCATCCGAACTAGCCGCCACGGCGTGTACGGGAAATAAGCATGCGAATGCTCGCTAGAACTTTGCTAACGATCCCGCTCCCGCGAGATGATCCTTCGAATTAGAAATTGCCTTTTCCACTGTTGAATTTCACTGTTTCATTCGGGCGAAACTAAATGAAATTCGTATAAATTTTAGCTGTGATAGAACAATTTTCCATTTATCAAGTACAATTGAATAGGTTAGAAGAAGAACGAAAAGATTCCACTGGACGTTTCTTTCAGAATATCGAGAAAAACTTATTTGTAAAGTTTTTTGTATTATGAAGTTATCCTTGAAAAGCGTAGTAACAATATTAAAATAATTTTAATAAATACACCGCTATATAAGTTTTTTCGATTTCATGAAAAAATAAGGTTCGGTGGATTCTTCTTATTTATTCAATTGTTAACGCGTATTATACTGCATGGTATGCTTACTTCTAAAGCACACAGACCCTGCGCTGTCGTTTTATTACTATCCATCTAGAAACTATATATTTCGTGGCCAGAAATTGTTTGAAACCACGCTTTTAATCAATCATATTTTTTTTGTAAGTCATATTACAATCGTATTTATTTTATTTGTAAAATCTGTTCTAAAAATTTTGCACGATTTCGTTTATAAAATATTGGTCGAGACAAATCGTGATCGCGACGGGGCCCCGAAGATCGGTAACGCCGCTCCTGTTGTGTATCGAGCAGCACTCGAACATGGCGGCTAGCTCGGATGTGTTTCTTTGGACGTTTCGAAAGAACGGCGCGAGGCGGCGGAAATCATCGCCTTACCGATCATCATCTAGCCTCTTCTCGTTTAACATGTTCGTTCGAATATATCTCGCCAGGTTCTCTCTCTCTCTTCCTTGATACACACAACCCGAGGCTGGAGTGTGGAGTGTGCTGCGCGGGGCGTGCACGTTCCGAACGAACGAGGGGCCAGAAAGACACGTGTGTGTACGACGAGGTCGGGCAAAATCGCACGGCGAGGTTAACCTCCTCTGCCTCGCCGTTCGTGTCTCCCATTTCGACCACGAAAACCGAGCCAGGAAAAAAAACGGCGGAAAGGAGGAAGTGAGATAGCACGACCAACGGTGTGGTGGCCAGACCGTGTGAAAGAGAAAGAAAAAGTAAGAGCGGCGTGAAAACGAGATAAATAGAGAGAGAACGAGGGTGGAATAATAGGATCGAACGGGACAGAACGAAAAGGGGGAGGGAATGAACGGCCCTGGGAGTCATCAGCATCGCGGCTTGGGCATGCAGGGACGTTACAGGGCCGTCGTAACTGGTGGCAGCCCAGCAGGGCCCCACTCACGCCCTCCAGCGCCACCTCACGCCCGCGGCGGATGGCACCCTCATAATCAGCACCCTCAGCATGCCCAGATACCGCAGCAATACACCGGCAACAAGGAATACCCGTATCGACAATGTCCACCGCCACGCTTCCATAACGGGTATAATATTGTGATAACGATCCTGGTGCACCTTGGGTCGTTACCTTGGTTGCACCTTCGTCTATTACATCGGGAATAAGGAATATTTTCTTTATATTTTTTTTTTTTTTTTCATTTTCTTTTGGCATTGATATGAAGATTGCTTCTTTTTTTTTATTTTATATCGCTAACCGTCGTGTCGACAATGCATGACCCATCTGCACACGCCAACTACGTTGGTCAAAGCAATCGGAAATGTCGCGATTTGTTATCGCGTAATGAGGCGAATAATTATCGCTCAAGCTTTTTTCTGTTCGGTAATATTGCATATTACGTAATTCCTCGTAAACGTCGAGAATTACGCATGCACTCGATACAATTGACGAAAGAGAGATTCTATTCATGTCACGATCGATCGATCGATCAATCGAGTAATCGAACATATGCCGATGGGTTCGTGCATTTACCTACCAGCGCGAACGGTTTTCATGGCGGAAGAATGTTCGTTGGTACGATCGGTACGGAAGAGCAACACCGAATGGTCGGTCGCGAAAGTGTTCTGTTTAAGCGACGCGTTCGGCCTGGCAAGTGTGTATTTAATTTTCAGAGCAACCGACATTGAAGAGACGGCGATTCTAATCGACGATAATAAACGCGCGCGCAGGGGTGTCCTCGCGACGTTGCAACTGCGGCGCATTTTCGTTTTCATGTTCGTTTAGTGTTCGTTAACCGGTCGAAATTTTCGTTTTTCTTTCTTTCTCAATTTTCTCGATTGGTTTGTGTCCTGTTTCTACATTTCTGTTCTTATAGTCAACATCTAGTGACTTGGAAAGGCTCGCACCATACAGACGGTATAGCAGTGTCGTTTAAAATTCAACCATATAGAAGAGCATAGGTTACATAGAATACGTAGATATGCGCGTGTGCATGCTAAAAATGCAGATGTAGCTTGCTCCATACGGATGATATCTGTGAAACTGTACCCGTACATAGACACGTAATATCACGTTGTATATAGTGTAGGCAAGCATAATACACAAACACACGTGACATTCATCCGTAAATGGCACGATTAAATACACTATATATATATATATATAGAACGTCTAAACTGTATTTTCGTTCAATATGATATCTCTTCTACGGTATTATAAATTTCGAGACTCTGTGATCAAGTGATTCATGGCTGCATGAGACACCATACAGCACGCGACCCTGAAGATACTACGCAGATCAATAACAACCTATCGTATTCGTTAAAAAAAAGTAACTATGATATTTTTTTCTTATACATATAATGCCTGAACGTTTGTTCTTCTTGTTTTTATTTTTGTTCTTGGTTCTTCCGTCTCTACATTTTCTCTGTTCTCTTTGCGTACCATGTTTATACGTTCTCTTCACTGGTTATCTTGTTTAGCATGCCACCGGCTGAGTGCCATTTTTTGAATGAGTATATATATATACTATATATATACACGTTCACTTTTCTTCTTCGTAACTCATGTTTCAACAATACTTTTGGTATTATCTCTCGGTGCAACACAGGGGGCTTTTGAAGTCGTGAAAAACAGAGCAGGATCGTATCCAACGATAGATTCGTCGCGTCTGTCGCCATTTTATTGATATCGTAAACGATTCGTGTAAACACGCCCGTAATATGGCCACATTTATTCAGCTGCGCACAGCTAGAAATAATATTGTGCTCGATTTGTATCTAGTCAAAGGGAATATCGCTTTATTGCGACTCGAAATACTCATTCAGGCTAAAAGGACAGAAATATCGCCGCCATGATAGGTTATGACTGTACAGTATAGGAGATATTCGTGTTTATCGGTGCGTCAGTTCGACAAGTATCGTCCAGTCGGTACCACCATACAGGCTAATTGTTCGATAGATCGATGCACGCGAATGACCGAGAATTCACGTAAATCGCGTTCAACAAGAAGAAAAAAAAAGAATCACTACTGAATTATACATGTGTAGCGACGTTACGGTGAAAGTATGCAAGTCTAAATTCTCGAACGTTTATGGTGATTTCGTAGAATTATCAATTACTAAATATTCAAAATTAACATATTATCATTTAATTCTCAAAAATTGTGAATAAGAAGAAAATATGTTCAATTTTTCAAATTGCATAGTTTTCAATTCACTTTCAAGATCTAAAATTTCCATTAAATTTCTTTCTTCGAATTTTAAACAAATCCTCGATAAATTCTGCAAAAACACCAAAAGTATGCGATTTCACCGTAGCGCCGTTACCCATGATGCTCTACTAGTATGTTGTTCGTTAACAATTTCGTGCATATATTTAGGGACTGTCCCGGCGTCGGTACGTCTTCCGGGCCGAACGGTAAGGAAGTCTCGTATCACGGGAACGTAGGCGGGTCTAGCGTGGGGTACAAACCGCCTCCGCAACATAGTCCGCAATCGAGAGGTCCACCGGCGCATTTTCCACAAGAATCAGTGGGCCCGCCGGCCAATTCTCCGCCGTTGCATATCAACATTTGCGGCCAAGTAAGTGATCCGTGTTTTTTTTTTCTTTTTTTAAGCATGAATTTTTCTTTTTTTATAATAAATATATGTACTCATAGGAGAGCAACATGCGTGGTCCATTATTGAACATGAGTCCAGGTCTCGGAGCTAGCAGCGTCGATATGGAATACCGTAGGAGTTCCCAAGGTATCCCCAACAACTTTCCAAACAGTCTATCGATCTTCAATCTCCTATACGATCGCGTTTAACCTCTTTGTTCCATCCCAATCTCTCTCTCTCTCTCTCTCCCCACAGTGACTAAAAGTAAACGACACACGTTCTTTTCTTTTTAGCCACAAACCAGCTACCTCTGAGTCCTGTACAAATCCAACCATCGCCGCCATATTACCGACAGCCTAGTCAAGATGATGGTAGAAAGGTATTGTATATTAAATGATTTACAGGGTTGTTTGTAATTATTGTTAAATTCTACGTTTACGAACTTCTTTAGAATTCCTCTCTTATTACAACAATGAAAATATTTTTGTAATTTTTTTAATAAAAAACGAAAATATAGGGTGTTTCGGGATAATATAGGGATAATAGAATCTGACATATGCTCTCTGATGTGAAACTAATGAAATTTGTAATGTTTTGTTTCACATGATAAAAATACTGTGCCTATGGAATCCACTTATGCAAAATTATAACAATTGATATTTTTTTTGAGTTATGCATATTATACACAGTATAAAATTTTTCATATAAATGTTAACATTTTTGTTTTTTTGAAACACTCTGTATTTTCAACAAATTCTTCTACTATCAACATTCAACCAACAACATGCAAAAAAAGAAAAAAAAAAAAGAGAATGGAATACAACCAGATTATTTTTTAACGCAACTTTTAGAGCGAGTCGCCATCTAGGAAGCGTCGTCGAATATCTCGCAACGGTGCCGTTTCCGGAATAGAAGTTCGCGAAACGACGCCTCCGTCGCCCACGCCGCCATTGCACACCACTCCACCGCCATGGGAGTTCTCTGCTGCGCCACAGAGGCGATCGCCCCGGAATCACATGTCGACTCGTGGCAGTCCAACTGTCAGGAATCGTTATCAACGATACACCGACTCGTTTGGTCTAACGTATCCCTTCATGCCAAGTCATGCCAATCCCCATCCAACTATTCACAATTCTCATCATGGAATCCACGGTACCCATCACAATATTCACAGCCCGCATCATAATCTACACAACTCGCATCACAATATGCATAACGCGCATCAAACGCATCCCCATCATCCACCGGGCACGGGACACCACCCTGCGCAAGGGGCGAACGGTCCTGTGGTCGTGGATGTCGGACAAGTCGGTGTTTCCGGTTTGGGGGTTGCAGTTAGCGGGGAACCACTCTGGCATCCTCAGGCGACAGGTTACAGGATCCCTTGCCAGCTGCATGGATTATATGCGCCTACCGGAACGCACGCGTTCGCGCACTCGTGTCAAGTAAATGGCTGTTCTTTGTGGAAGTACACACGTGATGTTGTAGGCAAAGAATTTGTTTGTTACTTATTGGTGAAAAAAGTATTTTATTTAAATTATTGGTGGATTCTTTAATTCTGTCTTAGTTAATTTCATTAATATTCCTTGAATTGTTTACCTACATCTCATAAAAAACAATAATTATCCCATTGTTTTGAATACTTTGTTCAACTGTATACTGGTGATAAACGAACGTATATTTCTGCAGGTCACCCATCATCATACTCACTATTCACCGGCTCATCCGACCCACCCAGGCCACAGCCTGGTCGGTTCGATAGTTGGCGCAGCATCCAGGGGATATCCAACTCCAACCGGAGGTCCTGTGGCGGCTCTTCATCATGCTCACGCGCCTCCACCACCCGTCCATACTACTCATTACACTGCGCACCATCAACTCTCACAACAGGTACATACTAGAGAAGATAAGCGCCAAGCTTTCACGTTTATTATCAAGGAAGCAGGAAATATTCATCTGGTTTATTTCTTTTCTTTTCTTTCTGTTACAGCGAGAAGTTGAGTTAGAGTTAATAGAATCTCACCATCACCACAGAGCTGCAGCTGGTGGACCATTACCATTACCGCATTCGTATTCACCGCCAGCTCTTGCTCAAGTCACCACTTCTACTGCTACGCCTATATTCCTGTCAGACACGAGGAACAGTCAATTGGAAATGATTCAAAGCAGAGCTCGGCGCACTGCGTCGAACGTTCACACGCTCAGACGATCAAGGTCGAGTAGATGGAGAGGCACGCCTTCAATACCACCGACCACCTACCCAGGATTCTTATTACACTTCTTGTAAGTTATCACTGTACCAGTGTTACAAATCACATCTACTCCAGTATACTACCCATTCGAATATCCTTTCTATTCTTATTTTTGTAAAGGTTACAATCATAAGTCCCTAAGAATATAAATACAAAAATTTGCTTCTTATTATATTTTCATTGCTACAGATCAGTTTTTAGTTTTTATTCCAAATGCCTATAAAAGGCATTGTACAGCCCTGGTCTGGATCTAACGACTTTACCTGTGTATATAATTGGACGAAATTTTGCAATTTACAGTGCAATGCTCAGCAACCCACCATTATCCCCGTATAGTCAGGCAGAGCTGTCTTCACCGGACTCAGCGACCGAGAATTACGAGGCTCTGCTTTCCCTAGCGGAGAGACTGGGCGAGGCCAAGCCTCGAGGATTAACCCGGGCTGAAGTGGAGCAGCTACCCTCCTACAAATTCAACGCTGAGACGCACCAGGGCGACCAGACTAACTGCGTAGTGTGCATGTGCGATTTCGAGGCACTGCAATCACTGCGCGTGCTGCCATGCTCACACGAGTTTCACTCGAAGTGCATCGATAAGTGGCTCAAAGTAAGTTTTATTGGCATATCACTTGTGTGACGCATTTGTCTTTTAAAAGCAAAAGCCTTCATTGTATGAAATATTTCTAAGTGTTAAGAATTTAGCGTTATCTCAATATAAATTTATTTTTAGTTTTTGCCTTCAGAGTTTGAAACAGTAAATTGGTATAGTCAGTGGAAGCAATATAGTGAAGCCGTAAGATCAGTTAGGCGTGTCAAAATGTTTGACAATTAAAATAAATTACGACAATTATATTACGACAAATACGACAATTATACCATTGTGTAGAAAACTTTTCTCGCTGCTTTTGATACTTCAATTTACGACATCCACTATATATAATTTCCACCAACTATTCAACTATGTTAAAGGTTACAGTTGTTAAGGGTAGCTTGCTCTATTTTCTGATTACAGTCAAACCGAACGTGTCCAATATGTCGCGGCGATGCTGGAGAATACTTTGGGAACAGCGGGACCGGTAGCGACTGACGCCAGGCCGCTCAAGTGCACTAGCGCCATCTGTCACGGGTCTCAGAGACTCTACTCGGCACAGAGCTTCCAGCGATCACGTTGCTGGTTTGTGCAAATTTCTGTTGACAAGCATTTCTCGCCTTTTCTCACGACCCACGAAACAGTGCCGTGCGCCGTGTCTCACGATTGATCGCGCCTCGGTTTCACGGAAATACATGTAAAAAAAAAAAAGAAAGAGAAGAGACTCCTCCTCTCCGAGTGTGACCAGCTTCATCGTGTGGAGGATTCAAAACGAGCGAACGGAAAGCAGGAAACAAACACGAGGGAAAAACCAAATGAGAGTAAAATTCAGGGTATGATGATGTCAGGGTGTTTAATGGTGTCGAGAAAAGGACCACTCACACACACGCAATAAAGGTACACGATTTTTGAATTACAGCATGCAACGTTTGTACAAGGCGAATTCTGCGTTTTGTTCCATTGTTGTTTTTTTTCTTTCTCGGGAATAGAAAAGTCGGAGAGAGAAAGAGAATATGTGAGAGAGAGAGAGAGAGCATGTATAAAATGTGGATTGAGCAAATTGACGCGCTAAAGGTTCAGACAAACTAAGAGAGCGAGAGAGAAAAAGAGAGATAGAGAGAAAGGGTTCCGGAGATATATTAAAAGCTACTACCATGCATTTCACGTCAGGATCAAAGTCTGACTATTGTGTACTCGTTCGTTTTGTTCCTTCAACGCGCTTCGAATTTAACTAAAATCGTGTTTAACGCTCGTTTGTTGTTTATTTTCGTTTTTCCTTTTAGCGTTGCTACATCGTCAAAATGTCGGGTTGATTCTGTATATAATTTATTTACGTAAATACGCAAAAAGAAATTATTATTGCGATAGTTGCCTTTTTAATCCTACGAATTGTACATATATACTCGCATAAACACGCTCCTTTTGTGGATATATATTCATACACATGTTTGTGCATACAGCATCCGATCGGATCTTGTAGGTAATTTTGTTTTTCATTTGATTTTTCTTTTCTTTTCTTCTCTTGGGGCACAATTAACAAAATCAAATGTAGCGTGTGAAATTCTTTTCTTTTCTTTTTTTTTCGCGATAAGCAGGTCAAGACGTGCCGATACGTCAAGTGAATGGATTAGGAAAGAAGAAACGATCACAACTTCCTAACCTATAATAGGCTTTTTGTTTTTGCGTAGATCAAGTGATCACTTTTCGTCACGTGGAGCCCCGTAAGTGTTTTCTATAACGGTTTAGGTGCTATATATACGAGAGGGAAAAAGTTCGTTGAATCACTTTTGCAAATGATCATCGACAATATTCTCTCGACGTCC